AGGAGTTTCCTATCTTTGTATATCCGAACAGCCTACTTCTAACTGTCCTGTAATGTATTAAAACATCGCAGCTGATCGGAATTAATGAGGTGAACGCTTCTCCTTACTGCCTTGTCCAGGAAAATGCTTTTCTCTCTGCTCTTCCCCCAGCCTCCCAGAAAAAAAAAGCACCAGGCGGGCTCTGCAGTGTGTATTAACATGTGCTGTTCAGGTTTGATGGTTAGGAGGGCGAGTAGCTAGCTCAGTATGGGAGCCACCAGTGATCTCCAGGTCCAAATTCTTCCAGAGCTGGTAAAGCTGAAGAAAACCGTCAGAGCAAGTCAGATACAAGCTTAAAAATTCCCGTTGGAGCTGGTTGCCTTCCCATCCAGGAGTGTGCACTGACAATCTGTGCTCTTAAGCCATGGTGTCTGAGCCACAGCTGTGTGATGGGGAGCTGGTTAACGTGGACTTTGGTTTTGTTGGATCAGAAGCTTGAAGGAGCAGAAGACACATCTAATGAAACCCACGCTGCTACTGTTGTTCAGCCGCTTCATGCCGGGAGAGTTTCCAAACTTGCTGTTCAGGTGCGGTGTTGGAACAAGTGGTTTCTTTGGTGAATCGCTTGTTTTCTCAGCTTCCCTCTGCTTCACAAAATTCTCAGATGCCTTTCGTGTAAATTCCTACAGTGGAACGACATCTGACCACTCTGTGTGCCAAGGAAGGGAGGAGAATCCGCTGCCCGGCCGAGTAGGTTATTTCAGAGTTCAGTTACCCTCACTTTTACAGTTGCGTGCCTTTTCTGGTAGGGCTTTGTCTGGACTTGGCTTTTAGCTGTTAGGTCTTGATCTACAGAAGGAAAAGAGGCCAGAGACCACCTTTCTTTATCACTTACTTCTCTGCCGCCCATCACCTTGTGTAAACTGTGCAAGCTGCCTTTTTTCTTGCCAAAAAGCCCCTTCTCAGCTCCTGAGTTGTTTGAGGTTTTTCCTCCCTTCTGTAACGCGGCTGTCGGGGTGTCCAGCGAGCCCTCTCGCTGCTCCAGCCAAAGCAACATTTCCTCCCCCACCTTTATTCCTCCAAGGATAATGTTAACTATTTTTTTTTTTGTCCCAGCAGCATACCAGAAATATTTTGGCCTAAAGGATGTTGTATGCTCCTGTGTCACTGACTAATGCTGCCCTGGACATATTTGTGTGTTGAAATTTTTCCAAGAGATTAAATTAACCCCCTAGGTTTAAAAAAAACCAAAAAACCAAAACAAAAACCAGAACAGATTAATGAAACAAGGCTGAAGTCTTGACTGTCTTATCTGCTTCTTTCCGTTATAGCTTCTTTCGGATGTTTGCAATCTGTATTTTAAACAGCCAGTCGTTCTTGTCTGTGAGTATTACCTGATGCTGCTTCTCCCTGCTGAGCTTTGTTTTCCTCTTGAAGTCACTTCTGCATTTTTCAAGATTATTTTGAATTCTGATTCTGTCCTCTAACTTGCTTGCAATCGCTTCCAAATTAATGCCTTCTGTGAACTCAATAAACATACAGCCAGCGAGACAGAACAGAAAGCAAGTGAAAATACGTAACAGAATGGAATTCAAACTCTCCTGCAGATCCTCAGACAATAAATTCATTCTTTTTTGGGCAACATTCTTGATTATTGTTATTTTTATTTATTTTTTAAAGTCATGCACAGGGGCTCAACGCTCCGTTACGACGTTCCGAATCAAAACCGATGTAAAACCAAAACTCATCCAGGAGCTCGACTCCAAATGGTGAACTGTGGCTCGATGGCCCTTCCCCATTGCTCTGCCAAGCGAGGGCAGCAAGATCGGCTGTTCCTTTCGGCAGGCTGCGGTGTGCTAGCTGCACGATGAGCTTCCCCTTCGTGAGGGATTATCCTCACTGGGAATTCCGTTGGCGACTGTTGCGTTAGGTCCGTCACAAATACAGTCGGCCCGTTCGCGTCCTCGGTGTGCTCACAGCATCGTGTGTGACGGTGCTGTAGCTGCAGCTAGCCCAGGTGCCTGTGCTGCGCCTCCGTCTGCGAGAAATGGGATCAACATAACTGACAATAGACTATTTTCTGCGTGTTTTCCTTCTCTGTTGAAGGTCTCTGAAACGGGGCTTCCGCAGGAGAGTCAGCATGTGCAGCCCCATCCCTTTAGGGTGCAACAGATGGTATGTGAATCCTAAGGTGATTCATCCGGCTATTTTTTTTGTGGGGCTGGGGATCGTTTGTGCCGTGGGCAGGCAGGGCGGTGTGTGTGGGGAGGCTGGGGAGAGGTCAGATGGTGTTGGGTATTAGGAGTGGACCAAGGAGAAGGGGAATATTTAAAGCCTGTAACCCTCTGGACAAGGTGTCTGTTTATATTATATAAACGTGTGAATTTCTGAGAGAAGAATCACTGACTTTTCCTTTTAATTATAGATACAGTGGGAATTGTGGGCTTTCGCTTCTGCCAGGATTTTTAAAGCAAGTTGGGTGTTTTTTTAAAAGGAAAAAGTCATGCCTCAGTAGTCATGGTGGAATTAAAACTGTAAGCGGTTGGTATTAATATGAACTTGATCTGGTGCCTGTGACATAACTGTGTAAAGAAAACCTTGCGCTGTTTGGAGATGAAATGTCTTCGAACTCAAGTGCATTGAGACACTACCCCAATGTCAGTTGAAGCAGATACTTAAGTACAAGTGAGCCAAGTGGCCCCTTATGTTTCCCCTTTTTGTGAAATGATTTGAAACTAGGGTAGGGAAGCTCAAGGAATGTGGAATAGAAAATCTTTTCAGGTTTTATGGTTTCTAGACAGACTTCTTCCAAGACATTTCAATGCGTAGTGGGAAGGGAACTGGTTTGCCAAAAGACTTTGATGTACTTCAGGGGTTGTGACTTAGCAAAGCAAATTATTTCCTGGGTTTGATTACGTCTCCTTCACCACTAAAGAATTAAATTGGACTGTTTGCATCAGTGGCCTCTTGAGGAAAAGCTGGCTTGTTCGTGGCGCCACAACCCCGTTATTGGGATTTATAGCGTGTGCTGCAGTGGGAAGGTGTTGAATTTGCTCATCTCTGTCTCTTGAGGATTGTTGCTGGGTCTGGAGTGACCTCCCCCTCCTCACGGCCCGTGGGTTTGTCCTGCACCAGCTTGTGCTGTTTGTTGTTCAACACATCTGTGGGGCCCTGGGACAGATTTGACCAAGGGATTCGGGAATCCTGCCCATCTGAGACATGTTGCTTCTGAAAATCTGCTCGCCAAAGGGGATGTTTGCCTTTGCGAAGGCAGCTTTTTAACTCTGTGGGAAACCTGATTATGCCTGTGGAGCAGAATATGTTAAAAATTCATGCAGGAATTCGAGTTTTGACTTGGGGAAATTTTTCTCTTTTTTTGATTTTCAAAAGCTACCTACTGGATTCCTGTTAGTTGAGCCCTTCTACGTGTTGTTCCAAAACTCAGGGTTCTCTTAGCTGCTGTGCTAAGAATATTTTTTTTTTTGGTAAAAAACCAAACCCCAACAAACTAAATAAGCCAAGATTTTGGGGATAAATTCCCCTGCTCTCTTGATGGTCACCCTTGTAGGGAACTAACATCTCTGGAAGCTTATTTGAAGAACATGTGCTTTGGCTTGCGCACAGCTAGCTGCCCTTTATCTGTACCTGCAACGTTCGGTGGCTAACCCAAGTCATACGGGTCTTCTCTCCTGCCAGCGGGACGTGGCAAACTCTAGCTGCAAGGAGGTTAGAAGAAAACCACAGGAGGGGATACATTCTTGAGTAACTTCAGTTGTTTCTTAAATAATATGCCTACAATTGAGAGTATTTAAACGTGTTCGAATGAGGCAGGTTAAGATGTTCCAGCCCCTGCATATCTTGCTGGTCCCCTCCAGGTGAAGATGGCATGGAGTAGGAAAATTGTGCGTTGAGTATGAGTTGGGCTTTGTCCCAGCTAGCTGCACTGGTGGTCTTGCGGGAGTAGAAAGTAACTGTTGTGAGGATGGTTGTTTAAAATATCACTCGTATTACTCATGTTACTTTTAGGGAAAATGAACCTCATATCACTTTTAGGGAAAATGAGATTGCAAGGCAGCCTGATACCTGGCTGGAATGTTAGGATACACGCAGTTTGTGTCGAACTGGGTTATGAAATGGGACCCTTGCTGTCGTTTGTGGTTTAACCCGGCCGAGCCGAGGCGCGGTTCCAGAGGAGCTGCGGCATCACAAATGGCCGCATGAAAAAGGCTCTGCCCGTGCCTGTGTGCCTGCACACACAGCAGTGACCCCTTCTGCTTGCGGTGCCGGCTGACTTCCCCGGGCAGAGCGGCCGAGTGGATACACCTGGCGTGAGCTGCGACCGTCGCTGGGTGGATAATGGCATTTTTAACAGCATATGAACCTGCCGGTTTGAAAAGGTGTCGCGAATATGTTGTCAGAGGAAGGGTGAAGTTAATGGAGTGATAAGGACTGCAGGCATTGTGGGCAGGAGGTAAACAAGCCTCTCGACAGCGATGCTCTTCAATCTTGTCTTATGCTACAGCAGGGACTGCCATTTGTGTGACAAATGTGGACAGAGTGACATTGAGGGGATGCGCGGCGAGATGTATTTTGAAGGGACGTAGCTACCTTGGTTTGTGAGCGAGAAGAGCTGACTTGTTTATAATAATTTGTTGGAGGGGTTGGCAGACCTATTACACTCGTTCGTTTAGTTCAACCGAAATTTCCGAATCGCTTGGTAGAAACTGGAATGATCAAATTACGTCAATTTTCCTCTTAAATCACGAATGCATAAATCTAGTGCTCGGGAATGATACAGGATCCAACCTTTTTCAGAAGAAATGTGCCTACTAGTGACTTTGCAGTTGTAAAGTCAAATAACTGCTCTTTTGCTTGTAGGAAGTTTGATTGTACAGTACGGATCTGTTGGACATAGCGTAAAACTCCTCCTGAAACCATTTTTAAATCACTTGCTTAAAACTTGCACTGAAGCTGTTCCTTGAATCTGTGTTGTTTTGTTTTATTTTTTCTTTTAGTGGGGAAGACTTCCTTGATCACCAGGTTCATGTATGACAGCTTTGACAACACCTACCAGGTAAATTAATCCATATTACTGTCTTCTGTAAGGTCCCTCTGTTGCCGTGTCTTCCACTGCAGGAAGAATCCATTTGATTGCAGTGGCTGGGGGTTGGTACACTGACCAAATTCTTCACGGTAAAATCTGTAGCTTCGTATTCTAATAACCTTTCAGAGTGGCATTTCGGTGTGGGATTCTGCTTGGGTAGCTCATCTGCTCCTTGCGGCAGGATGAGCTGTGGATCGAAAGGATAGGCTTCTTGGGTGTACTCAGGTAATGGCAGTTAGTAAGTCTACTGGGTTTTTTTTGTCACCATTTGCTACCAGACCATCACAGATCTCACGCCTCTGTGGGGGAAAACGTGACAGGTACCTGGCTCTTTTTTAAAAGCAGCAAGCTGAGCTACAAGAGGTTCTGCAGTGGGTTGGACAAGGACTCATGGAGCAGAATCGAGTGGATTGTAAGGCTGGGTGTGCTTTAGGATGCTCCTTTATACTGTCTGCTGGAACAAAGACCGCAAACCCACTTGTTATGCACATCCCCATCCTGTGACTGCCTGTCTATATTTCTTTATTTATTATTTAAACACGATGGGGTTGGCAAGGTTGGGGCTGAAGCTGTGGTTGTCTTTTATTCCAGTCAGCCCTGCAGCCCCCTCACTGCTTCGTATTTGGTGACAGGTCAGTTCAAGTTGACACAAGCTAAGTTTTCTAGATTCTAGGACAGCGATCATTGTTGCCCACTCCCAGAATTTAGGGTGAGCTTGAAAAGGTGTCAAGCTATAAACGTACTTCAGTTTCAGAAAGTGCGTCTTCTCCAAGCAGAACGTGTTTCGTGACTTGGTTACAGTTGGTGATGTTCGGAATACACTAAGCTGAGAAAAATCTGTTCGCTGAGGAATGTGAAGGGTTTTCTAGGGGGGTGAGAGGAGGAGGTAATGGGAGAAAAGTAAGCAAAATGCTGTAATTCTTCTGTTACTTAGTGCCTATCCAAGTATCTCCTTTGAATATCTTTACCTTTAATGATTTTCTTCCTCTCCAGTAATTCCTCTTTGCTGCTGCTAGGCAAGTTGGGTAGAAGGAGATGTACATTCTCACTTAACTATGGGAGAAGCGAAGCTTCTATGGTGTAGGAGGGCTAGAGTACACATCATCGCTCCCAAGGGAGCAAACACCCTTTCAAATCCTACCCACTGTAATTACATGGCCATGTGAATGCGGCTCTTTATTTAATCTGTGTTTTTTTTTTTTTTTCCCACAGTGTTTTTCTTTCAGGTCTGCTCCTTTTCTCTGTGGAGCTTGTGTCCTAGTTCTTCCTTGGAGAGGTTTGACCCTCTGTGCTTTAGGATAATATAGTTGTCTCCACGGGAAGCTGGTCTGACATAATGTACTAAATGACTGCAGAATGAATGAGTGGGACTTAAAACAGTAAGAAATCTTAAGGGCTCACAAGATAGCGTTAATTTAGCTGTCACTGATGCGGGCCTAGTTCGGGTGTTAATGCACCTGGTATAGTGTCGTTCTTCCAAAGACCTCTATTTCACTGAAGTCATGAGTGAGGTAGGGCGATCTGCCCTATTTTGCTATAGCTGGAAGAAAGAATGAGTCATAAAAACTCCAGTGATTTGGCCAAAATCACACCATGTGTTAGTGTCAAACCAAAAGATAGCTTTTCCATGTCCAGGTTGATATCGAGAGCTCTCAAAGCCAAGAACTGGAATGATACTGCATATCAAACCGAGTACGTGGTTAGCTGTAGCTGTAGCTTAGTTGAGGGATGATTTGCTCCTTCTGGACGTTTCTGATAAATTTTGAATGCACGTTTTCTGGAAGCTGCCGCAACCCATCATTTGAACAAGGTTTTTTTTGTGTTCGGTTGGTAAAAATAGAAAGCTGCTGTTGAATAAAATCTGTGCTGTGCATGAGTTTGCTGGCTGCTAGATAGGAGGAATTCAGCTGTTGCCCTCGTAGCTTTATTAATAAGCTGTTTTCATGAAAGCGGCATTTGTGAATCAAACAAGAACTCGCTGTACTGCGTGAAGGAAACACAAACACCTGAAGTAAAATTGTGCCGTTGGTGGTCTGTGTGTTACCAGGAGTGACACCTCTCCATGGACATGCTGGGAAAGGTTTTCCTTGTTCTGTGGCACCATGTGTGACGTATAACGAAAGGCCAACGTTGGCAAACGTGATGCTGCTGTGTGTTACGCAAGAGGAGGGCTGCAGGCCGCGCTTCCCTTTCGCTTCAGCCTCTTGGAGGAGGGGAGAGGGCGGAGAGCGTTGAGTTGAAAGGCTGGCCTGTGACTTGAAAGGTAATTCGGGTTCTTGCTTTGCCTCAGGCCTCCTTGCATAGTCTTGAGTAGTTCTGTGTCAGCAGGGATAGCCTATAAAACGGGGTAACGTGGGTCCTTTTAGGCAGTAGTGTTGAGGACAGCTGGATTAGTGTTCTCGCACGCGGCCCCATCCTTACCGTGGCCCTCTCTGCCCTTTTTTTGGGGCTTCTTGTCTTCTTTAAACTTGCAGTTGGGACTTAGAGTGCCTCACCTCATGTTCGGAGCGTGCCTAGCTCCTGCTCATTCCATGTGGTGCACAGCCGTTCACAAGCGGGTTAGACCTGCCTCCTCCTTAATTACAGTAATTAGCTTAGTTCCCTGTCCGTGCAGCTCTCCCCGTCAGTAAGCAGAGTGTTCCTCTGCTCGTGCTTTGCACAGCTCTTCTTTACAACCGATCTGTAAAGATCCCCCAAGCTTTTTTGCTCCTTCTGGCGGAACTCTTTGTAGGTTACCTGGTTTAGTAAAAGTCTGGGATAGGTAGAGCGTTTGAATCCAGTCCTTGATACTGCTGCTTCCCGGCGCCGTGGTGCGGTCAGGCCAATACAGGTGGACAAGTACATTTAGCTGTGAGTTATTCCATGTAATTCTTAAACCTTGAGGGGCCTTAGGTCAACGCAACTTGAAAGTAACCTGCCAGCCGTTCTCAGTGCGATTACCACAAATATTTCCATTGCCCAGATGGAAAATAAGTTTTGTGCTCGGCCTTGCTGTTGTATTTCCCCTGCTGTGAGTGTCCAAGTGCAGACATCTCACAGCTCTCCAGACACGCAGAGGCTTCTTACGGCAGCGAGTGAGCTTCAGAGCTGTGTGGGAGGGGTGGCATGAAGTACAGGCTGAGGCAGGTTTTGGGCTCTGCAGCTGGTGTTCCAGCTCCTGCTGAGAGCAGAGAAAAAGCGGAGTCTCCAGCAGTTTGTCAGTCAGAATGGGATCCTGGCTTGTATGGATGGTGTAAGATCTCGGTGGGTTTGTAGCTTTTCTTCTGTAAAGTGAATCAAATAGTCACGAGGGAGAATAGAAGCATCTTTGAGGCGATCTTCCGAGGAGTCGTCTCCCAAAACAATGGAAAACAGAAGCAGAAGGGAAGCATGTTGTTGGCATTAGTCTTTTGAGGCTTCTCGTATCTGCCTTCCAGTTTGCAGTATCGTGTCTCTGAACTGGGAATGTCACAGTCCTTGATGACAGGTGAAAAATCACTGGGTAGCTGGCTTGGGATCCACCGCTCTTTATTCTTCCCACATGCATCTCTGGTACTCCAGATCTGCTGTCCTGATCCAGCAGGAGGGTTTGGTTCCTGATGTGTTATGTTTAGTTGCAAGTGGAAATTCGATTTGTTCAGCTCTGCTTTTGTTTTAATTCTTTTGCAGCTGTTTTTGGTGTATTGCTCACAAGCAGGCTGGCTGGCTCTGTTCTTTAGTCCTACCCCGTCAAATATCTGTCAGGACACAAGGAATTAATTATGGGGATATGTAGTGAGGGCATAATAGCAGTCTAACAGTATGGAGCATATGCAGTAAAATAGGCTCTCCGTTAGAAATACCCGCTTCAGCGTGGGAGAGCAGGGAAGAGGTTTGATCAAGCCTCTTTGCCCTAGCTGAGAGACTTACCTCTTACCTGTTATGGGAGTTGTTTTTCTTTCTTTTTTTCCTTTTAAATCAATTTGTTTGGAATGTCTTCCAGGCGCTATTGATGTTGCTGAGCGGTACAGCCGCTTGAAACGCTCAGCATCCTGCTGCAGCCAGGGCAGCCTAATTCAGCCCCAACAGCTCAGCTTCGTCACATCCCTGCTGCAAACAAATTCCTGGAGCTTGGAGTCACCCTCACTGCAGCCTCGAAAAATGGGTGAAGATCTTGTATTTAAGAAGCAGCACTTCTTCCAAGCTCGATAGCACTTAGTGCTTTGCTTTTTCCCTTAAACACATATAAGGAGGCTCTACGCAAAGCTCCCGCTAGTGTCTACAAACAGTCATGCTGCAGTGAGCTTTAGTGTTAACTGAGCTTTAGTCGTTGTTGGGGGCTGTGAGTGTGTGCATATGCTCTTGTGCTGCAGCAGGTGTGAAGGTGTCCACCTTGGCCTTAATGAAAAAGGCTGAAAGTTAAGATACCTTAAGATATTTGGCAGTCAGGAAGAGTACAGTGTGCCCAGGTACCCTGACGGACGCTAGCTTGGGTCGTATGCATAAAAATCCTTGCTGATCCCCATATGACTGTGGATTAAACTGTCAGTACGCATCAACTGAAGTTCAGGTTGACAACATTTTGTGCTTTAAGGTATTGTTCTGGTTACGGATATTAAGGAATCTGCGGATTGAATGTTACTTCTGGGTGGAGCTGTATCTTGAAAGTAAGAAAACGAGCAAATTTCTCTTGCAGATGGGCTACAGGTGCTGAATTCTGATGTGGCAGTAATGCTTGCTCCCCTGGAAATCACTGCACTTGTTCTGATGTTTTGTTTAAGAAGTGTTGGTTTTTTCTTTTCTTTTTTTTTTTTTACAGGCAACAATTGGCATTGACTTCTTATCGAAAACCATGTATTTGGAGGATCGAACAGTGAGTAAGATTTTTGTTGCGCTTCTCTCTGTACAGTAGGAATGAGGTTCAGCCTCTGTTGTAATTGTGCAGCCCACAAGTTCTGAGATCGCTTGGAAGTACGGACTGAGCCTTTGTCTGCCAGCTGCTTCCAGGCTGACCAGTGCTGGGGAGGCAGCTCCCTGCTCCGTTCGCGGGAGCGGGAAATCACCGTTTGGCTCAGCTGTGGAGGGCTCGTGGGTGCCGTTTTACACGCAGCACAGGGTGCTATAGGTCATCCTCTTTGAAGAAAGAGGTGATACGGGTAGTTTGAGGGGTGCACAAGGGTGGGGATTTGGAGAAGGGGGCCATGCTTAACCCCTTCAGGTTTTGGTGTCACAAGGCAGAAGGATAAAATACAAATTGCCAAGAGTTGCCAGTTATTAGCTAGCCTGATACCCTCAATGGTACTTGTTTAAAAAGAAAGTTGCCTGCAACGCTAATCCACAAACGATGCTTGTTCCTTGCCTTGGTGCAGCTCTCGTTCCTGAAATGAAATCGCTCCTCTGTGGAAGCAAGCCTGTGGTTTTAAATGAGCTCAGATTCTTAATTAAGAAATTCAGCCACTGAGCTGTCTGCAGGAGCAGGTCGTGCAGTGCTGCGTAAGCCGATGGTGTTGCACAAACCCACAGTAAATGGGGCCGCGTTGAAGGCGCTTGAGCGGTGGGATGTTCTTTCCATAACAAAACCGGCCCTTGTGCGTGTTGCTTTTAGTGTATCCTGCCTTTCCCTTCAGAACCTCGGGGGTGAGAGACGCTCGGCCTCCTCTGCGTCCGTGTTGCTTTGCAGTGCGGCTCAGGCTTACCTCGAGAGGGATAACTAGCGGTGTAGCCTCCTTGAAAAACTCACATGAGTAGCTTTGCCAGGGCTCTGACAGCAGCTGAAGGCTCTTCCGTGAGAAGTGTGGCGTGTGCCCTGCTGCTTCCACCAGCCGCCATCCCCCAGGCTGCTGGAGGTGACGTGTGGGAGCCCTGAGGAAGGATAGCAGCAGAGCGTGAAAACCTGGCGTAGGCAGAGCTGCAGGTGGACGTTGGCCTTAGTTTTCTTGTCGGTCCTCTCCGTTTGAAAGCTGAGCAGTTCTGTTTCTCCCCTTGCCGAGGGGAAGCATCCTTTTTAAAAGGGAAGGCGGCAGAAAGCCAAGACAGGAGCACATCCACCGCTTTGGCTGCTACTAACGCCTGGGAGAGACCGCTGTAAAGGAGACAGCGTGCTGCCGCTCCCAGTCCCCGGTCATCTCCTGCATGAGTTTCTAATTTTTATTTAGGTTTTTTGTTTGTTTTTTTTTTTTTTTCTTTTTTTCAAAAAGTAAAAAATTTATTTACTCTTTTATTTTTAGTGGCAGTTTGGCTTTTTTAATTTTCTCCCACCCACAGATCAGGTTGCAGCTGTGGGATACTGCGGGTCAGGAACGTTTCCGTAGCCTCATTCCCAGTTACATCCGTGACTCTGCTGCTGCTGTAGTAGTTTACGATATCACAAGTAGGTATATTGCACTGGGTTTGACCTTTTTCTTATTTTTCTTGCTTGTTTGACTGATTTTGTTAGGTACGGTTGCAATTATGGGACACAGCAGGTCAAGAACGGTTCAGGAGCTTGATTCCTAGCTACATTCGTGACTCCACTGTTGCAGTTGTTGTTTATGATATCACAAGTGAGTGGGGGGAATTCTGCATTTCTAATACTCTGCCCCTTTCATCCTTTAGCCTAGCTTTGCATGTCCTGTCACAGTCATCTGCTTGTTCTTCATTCTGGCATGAAAAGAAAAAGTTTTATTGTAGTCAAGTTTTAAGCGAGCCACCTAATCGTAATGTATAAACTGTCTTACACACGGCATCGTTTTGTAACCCTTTCCTATCGCCCTCTCCTGAAGCCTTGAGTCCTGGCTGGTCTTGTTGCACTTTACCCTCTTTCATCTGCTTTTTTGATCATAATATCACCTGTGACTTTTGATCTGGAACACCTGAATCATGTTCATGAATATCTGAATTCTTAAAGTAGAGACTTTGCACTGATAGCTGGAGCTTGCTTCACTCCATTTACTCTCCCCACCCGAAAAAAATCTGGGCATGGGCCGGGGGGGAAGGTGCATTAACATCACATTTTCACCTGAAACGGTCACTTTTATGTTTTGCAATATGTAAAACTTACTACTACGCCCTTACCCTTTAACAATTGCGCTGTCATTTCTTACTAAGGTATGTACATTTTTGTGAACTAAAATATTAGTGCTTTTTTAACCCTTCTCCTTCTGTCCCTCCCCTCAGTCCAGAGACCCCTAACTTACTAGCGTTCTGTATTTACAAAAACCAGAAATTTCGTTTTGGGAGAACTAAATCTTCAGACACTTTCAGTTCTAAACCAGAACTGACTGAGAGCAATGCCCTAATTCTATACAGATAGGAAAGCGTTCGCCTTTTGATTTACAAGTGCTAGAATATGGGCTTTACCTGTAAAATCTTTAATTGTTAAAAATAGCACTTTCATTTGAGCTAAAAGTACAGGTTAGCTGTGAACTCTGAAATTGTTTTACTGACGTAGCAAATTCAATATTGTCAAGTAGTAAAGAGAAGAATTAAACACTGGCAAGTGATCAAGTCTTGACTGTCCAGCGTACGATATATTACTATGCAGTAGAAGCCATTAAAAAAAATCAATACTTGTCCAGAACTGCTGCAGAGCCCCTCCTTTAAGTACCAAAACCTACTTTGGCAGCTCGGATGCTCTTTGTGTAGCTCGCTGGCAAACGCTGAGCTCCAGGGCGGCTTCTGTACCGCTCGTTTTTCCTTGCGGGACGCACCTTTTCAGGCCACGTGCTGCCTCGTTAGGTCAGGGTAGCTCCCTAGAATTCTCCTCTTGCAGCTTTTAAGGCTGTACCATTAAGAAAGAGCGTCTGTGGATAGGTTAAATTTGTATTTCTCGTTTTATGCAAACGATTTGGAAACTTACGTCGAGTTCGCTGCTCAGTGACAGAGGAGTTGCTAGCGTGACGTGTAACCCCGATGTTTCTTAGCCAAAATCCAGAACCTAGCAAGTGAGAAGCGATGAAGCTGTACAAAATGTGTAGCTGCTATTAAGTACTTCTGACAGGCAACGAAACCGTAGGAACCTCTGGCTGTAGGTGCACCAGTCACGAGCAGGTAGAATGCAATATCGCCTTAATCCCCGTTCTATATGTAAAATAATTTTATGTGGAACGAAAAAAAAAGGGAACCGCTGTAAAACAGCGGTAAGACTTGTCGTTTTAGACGCTGCCAAAACCAAATTACAGACCAGCTCGGTTCACTCCCTGGCTTGGAATTCCCCTATAATGAAGTTCTAGTCCATTTTAAGTTAATGCCAAATTTGTCATGTACTTCAGTGTGGGAGATTTAGGGTTTCACTTGCTGGCTCTTCATCGCCCTGTTATGCCAATTCCAGAGAATATGAAGCTTTTATTTGAGAGTTACAGAGGTATTTACCGGTGATCTGTGACGAATACCCGCAGTGATAATCCTCTCCACTGTTCTCTGTTAGATGTAAACTCGTTCCAGCAAACAACAAAATGGATTGATGACGTCAGAACGGAAAGGGGCAGTGATGTCATCATTATGCTGGTGGGAAATAAAACAGATCTAGCAGATAAGAGGTATGGAGGAATAACTCGTCTTTCACATGTCTGTTTGGTTTTCTCATCTGCTGCTGTTTTCTCCTAGACAGCTATTTTAAAAAGAACACTTGGGTTTTTATTATTTTTTTTTTTTCCCCAAGATGCTCAAGCTTGTTTTAACTCTGCTGGAGATGGCTGTGACTAGAGAAATCTCAATTTTAAAACTTCTTTCACTGGGTCAAGCACAAGTTTCCAGCACGATGCTGTGAATGAGTTGAGAAACTGTCACCAACTTGTTCAGATGCCGGGAGCGAACGGAGCGTTAACTGCAGCCTCCATCAGTGAAGGGATAAGCTGAAGGCGTTACCAATATTTGTGCTTAATAGTTTTGCTCAGATAAAAATGATAGGTGCGAGTAAATCCTCCCTTTTAAAAGTCTTCAGGGGTTTTCAGAAGTTGGCAAACCTAAATATTTTTAGGAGAAGTTGCCGCAGTTTGTACTTGCTTGTTGTGGGTTTGTGGTATTCTTGACACGAATGAGTAGAAAGTCACCAAGGTGAAACACAAGCGTGAGATGGAAGTATTCTGGATGTGATTGGAATCCGTGTTCCCTCAGAATAGCTTCACTTGTGACCCTTACTTCAGATTTGGAACATCCTTTTAGGAATTGTTTATGCCCACGTACACCCCTCGTATACCCCATGATTTTTGTTTGGCAGTCCTTGAACCAGAGTTCCCCCCGGTTTTTGCCATAGCGGACTGCTCAGTGGGTGGGACGCCTCGCCAGGGGAACCAGGACACAATTAATTTGCTAGGAGGTGGGCATGCCTGGTCCTTTGTTCAAACAGTTGTGTGGGCTGCAAGTCGATGATTATTGTTGGGTGTTAAATCTGTTGATTGCTGATCGTTCGGATATAAAAGCAGAGCTTCCTGGACAGGGATTTGGGGGAGTCTGGTTGGCCCCCTTAGCTGTTCCACTGGAAAGCCGAGCTCTGCTTTGGGAGCCAAGTGTGCTGTAGAAGTCCATCTGACGGTGAAAGGGGGGTGCTTGTCTGCAGCTGCTCAGTACGTAGCATCTGTATGCAGGGGGAAAAAAAAACAACATGAAATGCTTTCGGAAGTGTAATGAAGCAGTCATCTCCTTGGGTTGGAGACAGAAATCTTAACTTGCATGACGCTTGCTTTTTTTTCCTAATTCTGTGTTATCTTCCCCAGACAAGTGTCCATTGAGGAAGGAGAAAGAAAAGCCAAAGAGCTGAATGTAATGTTCATCGAAACTAGTGCAAAAGCAGGCTACAACGTAAAACAGGTGAGTAGCGTGTGGGGCACAACCAGCCCCTGTTGACTTCTGTTAGTGCACCGCTGTGGGTGTAGGACTTCCCTGGACGTTGGGAAGCCTTTGCCAAGGGTGTCAGAGGGACATCTGTAGTCCGTACACAGCGAGCAACATCTCGGAGTGGAATCGTTGGTTGAGGTTCAGAAGGATCCCTGACCTTGCAGCAAATGGCTTGGAACTTTTCCCCTTAGACAAGAGGAATTATTGAAGAAGCTTTGTGGGTATGGAATCATCCCTTCCTGGATTCCTGGATTTTTGATAATCCAGACTTGGTGTTTAGATGGAAGAGATTGAGGCCTGAGGCCAAGAGTTGGAGAAACACCGGCCTGAGGACTGTTTCTGATGTCAACTCAGGGAATGGATGTGGGCAAAGCAGTCAAGGAGCAATGTGATGGCTCAAAATGCTTCCACTGTGCAGTGGGGCCGTGTAAACTGGTGCTCCCACTCTGTTGGAAGGCAGTGAAAGAGTGAGCAAATGTTCTTGGACAGTGGAAGCTCTTTATTTCTGGTGAATGCTGAGTTGCTTCTGAATCGGGGAAAGCAGTGAAACGTCTTCTGAGCTGATGGAGCCGCCACGGAATTAGGTTTTATGTGGTGAGATGAGCTGCAGCTCTTCAAATTCTGACCTGCTGGGTGAGCTTTTAGCACTTGTGTTAACGAAGGTCAATCACCTGGCAAAGAGTGAACTGGTGAAAATGGGAAACGCTCCGGAACTGATCTGGTGTTTCCGTGGGAGAAACCTGGTTTGAGCTGATGAGTTGTGTAAGCAAATACGCCCAACTAGCAGCTCGTGAACAGAGCTGTACGTCCCCCCCTGCCTCCGTGCGTACCGGGGCGCTGCTCTTCATTGATCCAGCCGTTTCTCTGTGGAGTCGTGACCGCTAAAGCGTTTGGCAGCTGGTCTTATGGGAGCAGGAAAGGCAGCAGAGCAGGAGGCAGAAGACATCACTCTTGAGTGTCTCCACGGAGGGAGCGCACGCACACACAGATGTGTGTGTCTAGAATCACGTGTGTATCTTGTGTGTGTGGTTACACAAACACTTTATATGCAGAATTGTATCAGGAGTTGCTAAAACAGGGTTATAAATTACGTTGTACGTTATAGACAGGCCTAAAGGGTCTGTTATTAAAATGTCCCTTGACTTTGTGTATTAGTAGCAAAATTACTCCCTATATAATGGAATAATTAGACGTGTTCACTTGGCACTGGGTTGCAGTGCGTTAGCAAGCATAAAAGTGTTCGGTTCCGGGGTCCGCTAATTATCCTGCCACAACACAGAGGCTGGCGTGTAATTAAGGCTTGGATTCTGTGCTGGAATCCTTAATGTTGCCTTAGACTAGGGGGTGTGCGCTTGGGAGCAGGTGCCTGGCTGAGAGGAATGAGGATGATGAAGCTCTGGACTCCCCTCTTTCCTTGAGGGAGTTGCTGTGCGGCTGACACGTTTCCAGACGTCTGTGTCCAAGCGTCCTGTTGAGGTGGGTTGTGGCTTTCGGGGCCGCTGGTGGTTTGAGGTGTAAGTAGGAAGATCTTGCGTGGTGTGCCTGTGGTCCGTTTTGGCATGAGATGTTTAATAAAACATGCGCTTTGTAAAGCTGCCACAGCCTCCGTCATTAAGGGTGGCAGCTCCGTTTAATACGTTATGAAGGAACAAACTTGGCTTTTTAGTATTTTATGCTGAAGCCGTTCAGGGATTGTACTAATGAGATTTTCAGAGCATGAAGCCGTTTCCGTAGCTGTAGCCTCACTTGCACGCTCTCTAGAGGAAGTTCTTCGTTGTGAAGGTCTAGACAAATTATGCCTCTGATCTTTCATGTCCAGGTTACTTGCTGTAAGACTACTTCTGTGAGAAGATAGGTTTGGTAATTCAGCTCCAGCAAAAACCAGTGGCGGTGGGAGCCTGGGGGCTAGTTCCCACTTTGTTAAATGGGAGATTCGGCGTTCTGAGGCCTAATTCTTGGTCTTCACTAAGATCAACGAACAGCAATATCTAGAAAACTTGGGGCTGTTACGTATCGCTGCATCATAATCCGAGTGGGTGCTTCATGGAGTGTGAAGTCCTGTCAGAACTGGACGAGAAGACAGGTTTTAAGTGACTTCATTCTCTCTGTAAAATACCAAAACAAAAAAACATGAGCCGTTATTCAAAAAGAACTAAAAAGGGATTTTTCTTCTGTGTTTTGATCCTCGTGTTGCAGGCATGGAGAGGGTTTTTTGGGAACTTCAAAGCTGTTCTATGCTGCAGAACATTTGAAACTTTCATTTTTTGTTAGTTTAATAAGTAGTTGTTGAAATGATTCTCGAAGGATAAGACTTCTAATACCACTAATGAGCTAGTTCTCTGTTTCCTTGCAGCTTCTCTATTGAATGGTATGAATTTGTTTTGCTAACTTGTCAATAAATTCTTCCCCCGTGAGATGGGAAAGCATATGGGGTCAACTGCAGAATGGATACCCTTCCCATAACTTTATGAAGTCTTTCTTTAATAAGCTGAATGCAAATTTGACCTTCCCATAACTGATAACTTCTATCCATAATATATTCTGGTGCTGCAGAACAATTACTGACCAAGTTAATTTTCATACAGGATTTTTACTGCAAGTGTCAAGATTATTTTAGATACAGAGTCTGTGTTTTGGCTACATATAATGGAACGCATTTATGTAAAAATTTAAGATCACCTAATGCCAGATATTAAATATTCATGTGAAGGTGATCTTAGACTAGTTGGCAAGTCATTGGTTTGTCCATTAGGGCGTAGGGTTCAGATTTAGCGGTTACCATGCAGCTTTGATACTGTGTATGACTGACATAGTGTAGAGTAAGGAGCGTGAACTGTTTCGGGTTTGTATTTTTTTTTTCCTTCCGTACAAAACTCTTCCCTGCCGGTATTAAAACTTCCCAGGTGGTCAGTGCTTCACTTGGCAGCTTGTCTGGGCAGTCCAGAAAAGCGGACAAAACGCTGCTGTTTCTCTGCTGTCCTCTCTGCCCAGCCCGAAATCTGTCTCCTAAATCCTGTGCCCTGGCTTAAAGGCAGGCGATGGCACGAGTGAATGCAGAAGGAGACCTGGGGTGAAGCTGAACCCTCAGCCCTCCGTTGTTGGCTTCTTTGCATTTCCATCCCCTTCTCGTTAAGGTTTGGGTTTCTGTGCGGTGTCGGATGTAGACATCTTGATGTTACCAGTTCCAGAGTGAGCTCTGTTCATACTGGTGCCTTGGGTGTGGCCCACCATCGCCTCCTTGCTTCCTTTCCGTTCTCTCTTTCACAGAATGGCAGGGGTTGGAAGGGACCTCTGGAGATCATCCAGTCCAGCCCCCTGCTAAAGTAGGTTGCACAGGACCACGTCCAGGCTGGTATATTTTGAGTATCTCCAGAGAAGGAGACTCCACACCCCCCCTGGGCAGCCTGTTCCAGGGCTCTGCCACCCTCAGAGTAAAGAAGTTTTTCCTCATGTTGAGGCAGAACTTCACATGTTCCAGTTTGTGCCTATTGCCCCTTGTCCTGTCGCTGGACACCACTGAGAAGAGCCTGGCCCTGTCCTCTTGACACCCACCCTTTAGATATTGGTTGATAAGGTCCCCTCTCAGGCTTCTCCGGGCTAAAGAGCCCCAGGTCTCCCAGCCTTTCCTCATAGGAGAGATGCTCCGCTCCCCTCATCGCCTTCGTAGCCTTTCAGGTCAGAGATGTGAATTCCAGCGTCGTTTGTGTGCAGGTAAGTCCTGGAGACGTGGCTTGCAACCCACCTGCCCTCACTGCCCTGGGTCCAACTGTCAGTACGCTGACCTCATTCCGGTCTTGGTCAGATGTGGAAGGATAAGGTCATCTCACGGGGGGTGAACCTTAGTGCTCTTTGTGTTGGCCCAAGCACTAGGGTTCTCCAAGGGATGCTGTCCACAAGGTTTCAGAACCAGCATTTGCCCCGTTAAGGATATGGAAGAAGCTTAATTTCTCGTCCTGCCCGGGGAGCCAAGAGTGTTTCACCGCCTCGGCCGTTTGTTTGCTAGCCGTCAGCGGGAAGCCGGGGTCCTTTTGACCTTGTGTGCTACTTTTAGCTTCTTGTTCATCCTTTTCTGCTGGAAGGCAGTGCTGATAAGAGGCAAGGGCACTGTCTTCAGCTCTCTGCTCACTGTAGCTGTCCTACAGATCCAGAGTGCCTGGCTTTGTAGCGTAACTCCAGAAAGTTGAGTCGCACCGTACTTCAAACGGCGCGGATTTCAATGCCAGGATCTTCTGCCAGCAAAGAAGCAGAGGGGAACACGCTGCTGACAGGCTTTTTTTTTTTTTTCTTTTTTGCCATTCCCCTGGGGCATGAAAGGGGACGGCTCAGAAGACATCACCTCAGCTAACACCCTTCTGGCGACTGAGGTGGCAGTGAGTAACCTGTGGCTTGGTTTAGCGGCTCAGAGGGGGCTCTTTGTGTAGCCACTGCCGAGAAGTACAGAGGATTTGCAGCCTCTGCACGTGCTGGCTGAAACCTGGACGCAGCAGCCTTTCATTTTATGGCTTCTCTGGCATTTCTTTTCCCCGAAGACTGATCTGATGAGCTGCTGAAGCAAGCCTCATCTCTTCTAGGTGCACGCTGTCAAACTAGATGGCAATGTACAGCTGCTGTGGACGGTTGGATGTGTTAAGGTAGAGCTGTCTGCAGTCACCAGGGTCCTATGCACTTACTGGTCCTTCTAGCTTTGGGAAAGGGTGTTGAAGGAAAAAATGAGTGGATGATATTACAGAGGGAAAACGGTGATAGTATTGTTCTGGGGTTAAATTGATGCAATAGTGGGGAAAAAATTGGCTTTTAGAGCCTGCAAGTTTCAGCAAAGACTGATTGCCAGGGGAGCCTTAAGACTGAGGGGAGAAGTAGATAACTTGCTTCAGTTAATGCAGAGAATCGTAGTCTCTCATTCCTTTTATTTGTCAGCCCTGAATAAGCTTGAAAAGGCTTCAAGATTCACGTTCTATCTCAGCAGTCTGTATTTCAGGGAATCTTATTGTTAGTCTGTGGATTTCATGCCCAGAATATGTCAGGGTTCATTTTGCTGTCTCGTAGAAAGCGAGGGGAGGGAGAGCCCTGAAGACCTCCTTACGGCGGTACCTGGCACGCTTCGCGGTTGCTCTCACAGAGCCCCAGGCTGAATCTGGTATTTGGCAGAAAAACTTTCTCACGGCGGTAGCTAAAGGACCGTGGCCCCTCAAATAACCCTGTTTTCACAGAGCTGGCTGCATCTAGCAGCTTGGCTCTTTCTCCTGTCTTTTGATTTCTGGGTATCCGATGGGCAAGAATGATCCTTTGAGTTGCACTGCTCTCCCCAGAGAATGAGAATGAGGGAAACATTTTTGTTTGCTTGCCTTGGGGGAACAGGTTTCTTGCTTGGCTTTCCCATCTGGGCAGTGATCCTCCTGTCCTTTCCATATTGCTGCCCGAGTGTTACAGTGAAAACTGTTTTGTGCCTACAGTCACTTGTGACACTGCTCTGTTGGGGGGTTATCGGCTGGAGTAGCAGGAAAGGCACGGTTTGGCAAAGGAGTTGAAACTTAACGGCGACAGATGAGGGTTTGGGGTTTTTTTCAGAGTTTAATCGGGAAAGAGATTGCAGGGTTGAATCTGAAAGAGACTTTGTGTGGCTCCCTGTTTCAGACGGCTGCGTTTAACTCCTGCCTTGGGGAAAAAAGGTCCCAAATGCTCCCCAATACGTGTGTGTTTATACACACACACATTGCACAAATATTTAGACGCGTGTGTGTGTGTGTATATACACTACGTTATATAGGCACATCTGTGTGCAACTGCCTGCGGCGTTTTTCGGTGAGATAAGACGGCTGGCTTGGGTCCTGAAGGCCCTGTGGAGCAGCAAGGTCCCTGCCTAGAAGGCTGCTTTCTAACCATCGTGAAGTTTCCCTAATTGGATTTGTTCACATATGCTGTGGCTGATAAGCAGAAGGTTAATAAGAAAGAAAGTTGATTTTCTTAGTTGGCAAATTCCTTTTTTTAGTGAAATCATTTAGGGGAGAGATACTGCGAAAGGCATCATTTTATTCCTGGTCTTAATGTAAAGAAAGGATTACTGTGCTTTAAACACTTAGCCTTTCTGTCAGCAGCTTGGTTTAAATGCAGTAATTCCAGTTGGTTCCCATCAGCTGAGGATTTTTTTTTTTTTTTTAAGACTCACCACCCCTCCCCTCTATAAACTGCATCCCTCATTTTCTACGTATTGTGCAAGGGGAAAGAAATAGCAAGGCCACGGTTTAAAACAAAGTGGGTTTGTGCTGCTCTTTCCACCTGCGTTCTCCAAGTGCGTGACAGCAGCAAAGAGCTGGATGAAGTGATGCATTTCCCTCTTCCTATCAGAGCAAAGGCGTCAGGCAAGCAACCTAATTTAGGCAGGATCTGGTAGGGTGGTGCTAAACTCTGTTGCATATCCATCCTTAAAACTGATGGGAGAGAGTGGTTTTTTTCTCCCCCAAACCTTCTGTGTCAAGAACTGGGTTGAAATTACTCTTTAAGACTGCAGTATAAGAGCAAAAATACCCCAAACAGTGTACAGGAAGGGTAGAGAAGCTGATTTGCTCCATCTCTACCTCTGAGGTATCACTTGCATATCAGCTGGAAAGCGTGTGATGGAGGGGCGAGAGGTTTGACAGAGCTCACGGGGACAGATGTAGCTCTGAAGTGATGTCCCAGAGAGGAGCAGAGTTTGCCTTATCCTCTCCTGATGCGTTGACAACACTCCAGCACACTTCTGAAAGCGTGGCTCTAGATGGTATTTGAGTATTCTGCAATGCCCTGGTGGCTGTCCAGCATTCCTTCTTTTCTTTTTCTCTTTTTCCCTTTTTTTTCCCAGAAGTCACAAAGCTGTTTTCTTTCATAAAATTGAAGTTGAGATCCATTAATCCGCCTGTGAAAGCTCACAGAATATTGAATATTTTGAGAGTAGAAGTAATTTTAGGGACAGAGCCCAGTAAAGAAGGAGGGTCAGAACCTTCTATACCCAGATGCGATCGAGTCAGGAAGTTTGTTGAAGACTTAAAGGCAAAGAAAGCATCGGGACTGCGAAGCGCTTGTGGACTCAAATACAGTACTAAAACTTTCAAGGCTTCTAGAGGGAGATGAGATTGACTCTCAATTACTTCCTTGGCCGTCTCCAAGATGCAAAACCAACTTACAACGAATAGTCTAGTGCTATCCTGAGTAAAAGAGCCTCTTGAAAAGTAATAAAGCGAAGCAGGTTGGCGCTGCTGCCGTCTCACCTGCTTGGAATGGCGAGGACAAATAACGCTGGCTGCGATGGGAGATTGCTCTGACAGCCTGCAGCTTCTTTCTTCTCCCCCACTTCATTCTTATCAGCCAAAGTGCTCGTGTCTGGCTAGTTGTAAAATGCTTGGAAAATCATAGCCACGGTGCTTTTTCGAGCAGAATTAAGAGTGAGGAGGGATGGTGAGATGAGGCAAGCAGATACACTAACAAGCGGTGAGCTCAGTTGGTAGGACTCTTTTTTGTTTGTACAGTGATTACAATTAGATCAATGTTTAGCTTTTCCCTGAGTCAAAATTACCTTAATTTGGACCAGGCAGTCTCTCTCGC